TATATATATATGTGTGTGTGTGTGTGTGTGTGTGTGTGAAGTGTGAATACTATTTACACAGCATTTGGTTATTTTGTCGACTAAAATGATAGGTTGTATTGATGCAAATCGAAATTCATACTTCAATTCTTATTCTTTACCTGTTCCCATACCGCATTATATTAATATAATAATTAGTTCAATGTTTTTTGAACCTTCTACTCTTTCACTTCTTTATGGATATTTTTGTTTTTTCAAGACTGATTATATAAATGATAATTTTAATTGCTTATTTTTCGAATTTGATAATAGCGGTTCTAGCAATAAATTAAAAATTGATTGCATTTGAAATCCTTTTACTTGTTGTATTCTTTGATAAATTTAAAAAGTGTAACAGATAAAGAAGGAAATATCCGAAATTTTGATAATTTTCAATCTCATATTAAAAATATTATTTAATATAATTAATGCTAATCAAAATTTTCATTGCCAGTTGTTTTCATTGTAAGCCATTAATGATTAATTGCTAACTCATAACAGTAATAATACCAATCCGATAGTGATATTTTAGCTATTGCTGCTTTTTCTCTTGTTCCAACGTTTATTTCAACAGTTATTTTGACATTATTGCAATGAAATCATTCAACAATTAATAATAGTCCATTAAGGCCCACCATTGTCATATTCACTTTTCAAATCTTTCACTTTTTGCATTACCTGAATTGTGTGGAATTTTCATTTCCATTTTTCGTTCTTCCAGGCTTCAAATGAAACATTCATTTCAACATTCTCTTTCTGTTGCTGGAAAAAAAGAAATGGATGTTAAATAAATGATAAAAAAAAACATTAATACTGGACCGAACAACTGCTTTAATGAATAGTTGGAAGAAAGAGGAGAGGAAATGAGAAGAAAGCAAAAAGGATCGGAGAGAATTGTGTATTTGAGGGTGTGATACCTTTTCTTCCAATGTCCTCTTCGTATTTCTCTAATTTAATGGATTCCACTTTTCCCGTCAAATACCCAATAGATGGGCAGAGGTGTGTATTTGGAAAGAATGTGTGTGTGTGTGTGAGCATTGTTAATCTGTTGAATATTCAAAAAGCGACCTTCTGTACAGACATACATCACTTGTTGTGTATGTGCATGTTTTGTGCTTGTTCTATATATATTATACATATGTAATATTAAATGATAATTCTTTCCTGGAAAAAAAACAATTAAATCCTTTTTTTTTTTAAAGAAATATTTATTATTTCAAGTAATCTAATATAAACTTTAAAATATGTTTTATTTCTTCCTTAGTAATTAAATTAACGCGCCGATTCTTACGGCATAATTTTTTCTTTTTTTTCTAATAC